CTTCTTTCCCTTCCTTTAAGTGTCATTGCCTCTTCCCCTAGATTTCCTTGCTTTTGCCCTTTGAATTCTCTCCCACATCCCACGGGGCGGGGGGGAGCTATGTGGGTCTATCCACCCCAGAAGCAAAGCAGCAAAGCATCCTAAGCTGATAGTTTTGCTGACCTTTTTAAAGCACTTAACAGCAGTAGTGGCAGCAAACTGAGCATCTGAAAACTTAGCTCTGAACAAACAGATTTCTGGTAGGAAGAATCACATTCTATTCTCTCAGGAATACAGATTTTTGGTGATGCTTCACAAGAATTAGAGCCAACTGAAACACTCAGAGTCTGGTCTGCAACTGAGTTCAGGCAACAGAATGTGTTTCTGCACCAGAACCACAATACTTGTCCCACACTCTGAGTGCTGCCCCCAGCACAGAGCTACAGTGCTGCTATCAGAAGAATCACTTATTGAAGATACAAGCTGTCAAAATAAAACTGGAGAGAAGATACCCCCATAGTTTAGTGCTCAGATACCTACAGAACCAATGGCTAACTCCAGCCTCACTGCAGCCAAAAATTCCATAGCTAAGGACACTGCCTCACAGAACTAATACCCAACCTAGCAAACAAACAGACCAAGAAAACTTGATTCCAGCAGATTCATATTTTCTGATGCAAAACAATCCACTAAAATCCCCACAGAATTCTGCAAATATGCTCCTTTTTTAACATTCCATGAATATTTGAGACATTTTTCCACCTGACAGCATCTACTGTAGCATTCTTCAGACTTTGTAGCCTTCCCTTGGGAACGATTTCATTGCCCACAACTGTAAAAAAACACTAAATTCTGGTTTACATGCCTGCTCCACATGATGCATGATGTGAGGCTTGATCACGACTGATAAACCAGCTCATTTCTAACCACACTGTCACGAAAATCAGTAATTCAATACTGCATTGTAAAACCTCTGACTCTTAGCAGCTACCTGAGGATTTGTTTTATCTTATTTCTAAGTGACATGGTGGGAAGTAATCAATAACTCCAAGCACAGTGGCTTTGGACTCAAGTGTCAGTACATGTCTAATTAACCATTTATGAACACTTCTCTTTGAACCAAAACTTCCTTTGAAGGTGAAATTAAGTATGCTTGAATCTCTCCCATCATAATATAACCACCTTACAAATTGATCACTGGAGAAAATTACAGCATGTAACATCAGTGGAGAAAACCCCTAGAATGGTAAAAACAGGTACAGTTTTAAGTTTATAGATCTTCTTACTCAGAGACACTGTTAAAGCTCTGTCTCTGTGGCCCCATTTTCTCCAGGCATGTGTAATTTCACATTTATTCTTTACAAGGTATCTTACAAATCATTTTTATGGAGACTCTTAAACTATTATGGCAGCAGTCCTATTGCAAATGAAGCAGGAGGACAACACTTGACTAACCCAGTGTAAAGCCCTAAGGCAGAAGAAACCGTATTTTTATGCCTACCACTGATTCCTCACACACTGACGCTCTGCAGCACATGCACACAGCTGGCACATTGTTTGTTAGAGAGTTTAAAGATGGTACCACAAGTTAAAAAAAGCTTTAGAAAGAGTTTTTACTGTGGTTGAATTCCCTTTAAAGCTACATTTATAGTAGATACGCAATGGATTCCAGTGTAAGGGTGTTACTATGTTTGCTGTTGTCAGTATATATACATATTTCAATAAACTTTTGACTTCTGAAAACAGGACAAATATATCCAAATAGTTTTTTAATGAAGAATCCACACAGCTATCTGCCTGAGTAACATTAACTCAGATAATAAAACAGCTGCACAGCACTTAGAACTCTGTTTAAGACAAAATAAGACCATGTAAATAAAGTTATTTGCATCTCTAAAGATGCATAGCTTTTTGTTTCGCTATTAAACAACTGTTCAACACAACTGATGTGCAAAATCTAGAGAGAACATACAAGGGGGAGAGGTTTTGCCCTTCTAACAAGGTTCTAATTTCATCCCCTCAACAAACGCACTGCTAATGGCCCGTTACAAACAGGCTGATGAGCCAGCCTCTCTGCAGCCTCAACACGTACAGGCTTCGTAACTGAGAGTTATTGGAAGGATTCTCATTCTCACTCAGTCCATGGGCACATCAGGACTCCACCTCAGTGCCTGCAGCTGGTTAGGTCTGAAGTGAGTGACATGAACCATAGACACCTCCAAATTTAAACTCTCATCGTATCATTATTACTTTGAAACTATCACCAGAACCAAACCCCAGTGAAATCTATTAACAAATTCTTTTGGGAGCCCTAAAGCAAAATTACTCTGAAGAGTAGAAATAATGCTAGCAAAAAGATAATGAAGTTATCCATTCATGAAGACATGCTTCTTGACAAGTATCATAAGCATGCAGCCTTCTTTGTAATACCCCAAAGGTTCTTTCCCTCCCAGCAGCCACAACCTTACCAACTCAAGAGCACAGGAAAGGAACTGAACTCAAACAGAAATGCCACAGACCAAGATTTCCATTCAGTTTCATGTCAACCACAGAGGTTACATGTCCCATAGAGCAATATACAGTTTAAGTTTGGGATCATGAAACCAAGAGGGACAAGATTAAAAGGTCCAGATGTATTTCTGCAGCTGCAGGAACAATTCACCTTTTGTGCCTGCTCCCACCACATTCATAAACCACCATGGGAAGACAACACTGTCCAGCCTCCTGCATTTCCTGCATGAAGAGCTTCTGTAATTTACCAAGAGTCTGTCTCATTAAATTATGTGCATAATTAAACATACTGAAATAATCTAAAGGATCTGTCTAGACTGGTGAATGGATTTCCAATTGTAACTGTATTTAAAAGAAAATAAAACAAGTTTAAGTAAGTTCGGTCTATTCTTGTAACTTATTAACCTTGAAAATTAAGACATTATCTTTGCGCAGTGAATGAAGTTGTTGAAGAGAACCACTGAAAGTAATGGTATGTCACATTTGACATGTTCTATTCACTCACTGCTCTCATGCAACTTGCTGTTACAAGCATTTAAGAATACAAAGTAAATCACTATCACCATACAGTCTTCTCCGTTGTAAATATTAGGGGTTCAAGGATTGAAATAATACATACTTTAATTCCAAATTCTACAGTGTCTATATATCTACAGAATCCATACAATACATATTTCTTGCAACAGGAAACATCACAGTCCCGTATCTGGCAGATACAAGGTGACCAACTTGCTCATTGCTCTCGCTTTCCAACTTTGGTGACGATGTCCCTGTGACGAGTTACACAACCTCTGCAAAACCATTCAAGATGTTGAGCACTCCATGTTTAACACATTCTTTGCACACCTGATTTTGTGCATTTCTTCCACATAAGGTAAGAAAAGCAAGCGCTTAGTTATTTCACAGTGAACAGACTGAACACTGAGCACGTTAAAACATCCTATTAGTGCCAAATACAGACATTTCTTACATCTTCATGACTCAGGTGACAAAATCAATGCCAGCTTGTGAACAGAAGTTCTAGTTACCAAGCAGCATGATGTAACATTGCATTGTTCAAGGACAAGTTACTTCAAATACAAAACCTAATGAATTATCTGCTCCAAACCTCAGTGTACCTGCATATGAACCTCACTTTCAAACAACAGCAGCAATAAATCACCTGACTGGCAATACAAACAGCGATTTAAAAACACAGCCTTATCAAAGCACAAAAGCCTGGCTGGCTTGTGTTCCAGCCAGCACTAACAGAAAGCTAAGCTCTCCACCTTTGTTCTAGGTCAGCATGTGTGAAGTTCACAGGACAGAATTCACAAGAAGAAAGGCTTAAAGAAATGACAGTTTCAATCATAAAACCTTTCAGCTTAAGCAAGCACACACTGTAGAAAGCAGTAAGAATTAAAATTGATTTCAAGAAACCATCCAACAGTGAAAATCATCCTCTCTTCTCAGCTACCAAACCAGGTACATCTGCATAGGTGTTAGCAACCAAAGAACTCCATGCACCACACTGCTTTTCAGTACTGCAACAACTGATGCCTCTAACCTCTCTAGTCTTCAGCTACTCACAGGCACAGAGTTTGTTGTCTAATCATCATTTTTATACCTTGAAAGTGCATCTTCTGTTTGTAAGATTATCTTAGCAGGGCTGAGTAGTTTCGGAGGAAAATGGGATGCTCATTCCTGGACAGCAGATGTCTCAGTGTTTCCTTTGGAGCACTCCCTGAAGTGACAAGTTCATTACAAGGTGCTCTTGGTTCAGGAAAGCACCATTACGAACCACTCCTGATTTTTACCCTCGATTGCCCTCAACTTTCTACCACGTGGTCAAACATTTGCATGAGCTGACAACTATTTTAAGGAAAGTTCTGTTTACAGGGACTGAAAACCCAGAGAGTTACTCAGGGGAAAGTCACTGCTCACAACTTCTTGCTTCTGCGCTCGTTTAGCCAGTTCTCCTACTTCATCCCACGGTGCAGCGCTGTACGTTTGGAAGTTACCCAAGTCACTGCTTCCAGAACTTGCCCTGAGGTTTCACAAGTCCCAGAGCACACTGGTATAAAGTTAGTTAATACGATATATATGTGCTTGCCCCCAGATGTCAACTGGAGTTATAGAACTTTGGAAGATGAAGTTGGGATGGAGCAGATTTCTCTTGCATGCATAAGCTTTAAGAAAGAGTGGCACAGTAATGCTCATCTCCACTGCAGGCCCATGTCTCCGTTCTACTCTTTGAAATCTTAAATGAAGGCTATGTATTTTAATAGAGAAAATCCAAAGTAAATGAAAGCAGTATCTGCTTGCATGTAACATGCTCTCACAGATGCTTCTGAGGGGAAACAGGAGGCCATGGCAGATAAAAAACAGAAGTGATTTTGAACCCCCATGTTAAACTCAGCCCAGCAAGTGCTGCGGAGTAACAAACCACTTCCAGGAGGAGCCCTGAATCCAAACACACAGCACAAACATAATTAATACCCCAATTAAATAAATGGCAACATAACGTATACCTTTGTTACCATGCAGAAGTTCTGGTGGCATGTTATTTAAAAAAAAAAAGCCTTTTTCCTGCTATTTTCCCCATCTTGCTTGTCTCCCTTTCAGGAGCTCTGTAAGAGAAACATTGAGTAGGTAACTGAAGAACAAAAATAACCCAAACTCTAATAAACCCTGGCTGTTCGCTGTGCTTCAGCTGTGGCCTTAAAGGCCCCTTGAGGCTCCTGCACGGTGCTGAAGCTGAGCTCAACGCATCTATCTGGGGAACCGCGTGTCACAGGCTCCTCCGCCAAACCACTCAGCTCCAAAAGGCATCAGGAGGACACAAGAAACGAGAACTATCCCTCCGCCGGTGCTGCCAGAGCCCCGCTGCCCTGCAGCCCGCGCTTCGCACCGTCCTTCGGCCCCGCTGCCTCCCCCTGCCCGGCCCCACGGCTAACACAGTGGATCTGCCACTCAGCCCGGGGTCCCGCCACGGCTGAGGGAAGGTTCTCTGGATCCAACCCGCTACCGACTCAGCCGCACGGGCCTACGACCCGGCCCGGAGGAAGAGCGAACGGGCCAAGGATCCCGCTTCTACCGGGTACGGGCGCGAAGCGCTGAGGCAGCCGCGTTACCCTGGCCCGGTGACCGCCAGCGCCTCGCCTCGCTCCGCTCCACCGGGCCGGACCGAGCGGGCAGCCCGCGGCGCTGAGGAGAGCCGCCCGCGGCCCACCGGTGAGTGGACCCCCAGCCCCGCTGGGCTGGGCCGCGCCGGGCCCGGGCGGGGCTGGGGGCGGCGCTGCCGCCCCTCTCTCAGTGTGGGCAGCGCCGGGGCAGCGCCGCGGCAGCGCGGAGCCCCCCGAGGGCCGGGCCGGGCCCGGCCCGGCGGCATTACCTGACACCGCGCTCCCGCGACGGCCCCGCCACAACACCCTCCCACCCCAGCACCGCTGACACCGAGGCGGAAGTACGGTCCTCGCCGCGGCGGAGTGATGCGCCTCTCCGCCAATCGCAGAGCGCAGCCGCGCCCGCCGGCTGACGAAGAGACGAATCAGCTTCCCCTTTCACCTGCCCGGAGGCGGGGCGAATGCTAATGAAGCGCCGAGCCTCACAGCCCCGGGCCGCACCACTGCTGGGGAGACTGCTGGCCAATGGCGCGGCGGAGGGGGCGGGTCTATGCAGATGACAGCGGTACCGGCATTCCCCGCGGCGCTGGGACGCTGGACCGGGCGCGTTTCGGAGGGGACGGTGCAGCTTCTGTCATGCAAACGCACACGGTGATGCTGGAGACGTTATCGGCCGTTGTGCTTTGTGGGACGTTTGTACCATCAGCGAACTGCAGAGAGTGAGCTCGGCTCACCACGACTGCGTAGAACAAAGTGTCTTTATTAATAAGGTGTAAAAGGGTGGCTGTACTCCCGTCTCTCAATGTCGCGCTATGCCTGTGCTGGTGTGTGCAGTGTTTTGCTGTGCTCCAGTAGGATTTTAACCACTTTTGTGGGTTTATTCCACTGTTGTGGGTTTTTTCCATCACATTCTAGCGCTTTGAGGTACATCAGTGGTCACCCGTGGGTCACACAACACCACAGCTGGGTTTCCAGGCCATGCATTCACCCCAGTGACATCCTCCCTGCCCAGCTGCTGCTCTGAGCACGTTGATGGATGTGAGCAGGTTAATGGACATCTGGAAGTCCCACAAGGTCACCAAAGCCATGGGCTGATTGGAGCTGTTCCCAAGCAGAACCTGGCAGGTGCTGTGATTTGCCTCACCCTGAACTTGCACTTGTTGGTACACAACAGGTAACTGGAGGCAAGTTCGTAACAACCCCCTTGACGGTGATTACTGGCACGCTAAAGCAACCGAGAGGATTTGTAGATGCTGATGCGAGTGTAAGAACTGTGAGTCAGGAGTTTAAAACCTATTTGACTCATTTCTCCCGGATAACACCCGTTCTGCTCGTTTGATTTACCATTGCCTTTCTGAGCACAGACACTGCAGCTTCCTCCGTGACCAGAGAACTGAAACTCTTTTTCCATTGAAATGTCTCCATCCTTCCCTTTTCACACCTGAAAGCTTAGAGTCATACAATAAAATCATAATATCCCAGCCTGTTTGTGTTGGAAGGGACCTTAAAGCTCCTCCAGCTCCAACCCCTGCCACAGGCAGGGACACCTTCCACTAGAGCAGCTTGCTCCAAGCGCCTGTGTCCAACCTGGCCTTGAACACTGACAAGGATGGGGGAACCACAGCTTCTATGGGTGTCAGCCTGTGCCTCTGACTGGCTCTGAGGGTGTCTGTTGGTCCCTCTGGTTCCAGTCTTTCTACCCCCCGTGTTTCACCCCTGCATTCACCCATTCCCAAGTTGCAAGGCAGGTGTCATTACACTCATCTTTAGGGAATACAAATCTTTGGGAGTAGAGGATAATCTGTACAATTCCAAATCTGGCTTTAAGAGTTTCCCAGTTTGCCTGGATAAGTGATTCTTTCTTTTCCGGTAAGCCCTGATTCAGCAGCCCACTTCTGGATTGCTCAATGTCATAGACTCAACATTAAGAACAGAGCTTATTATTACAGCTTAAAAGCAAAGGCAACAACCAACAAGTAAGGATGAATATAAAGTATTCTCTGACTGAACAGGCCTTTGTCATGACTAAGGAGCTGCTCTGGAAGAGTTCTCCAAAAGCATTAAGAGAAATCCACTGATTACCTGACCAGGGAATATTGAATTTGTGCCGCTTTTCCAGGTGTGAATTGAAGATATGTTCATTCTGAGACTGCCACAAAACCCCTTCTCCCAGGCATTTCATGGGCATTCAAGCTAAATGCTCAAGCTTAGCAATAACAAGGCTCATGGACAATTTATTCCCTTGTTAGATACTATGGAACTACTCCCTAACAATGTAAACTCACAAAAACCCCAGGCTGGACTGGCAGAAGAATAGTTCTCTGTTTTTCTCCCTCCTGTGTTGGCAATGAGGGGATAAAACAGTTACTTTTTAAAGGAGCTGGCATGGAAAATTTTGCCTCACTGGCAGGAGTTTTGCAACGTTAAAGGCAATTAAAACGGGGCTTTACAGTGGGAAGTATTGAGCAATGGTCTTAGGCAGAGGTGTGACCATCAGCTCCACCTGTAATAAACCCCAATGCTTCTCTCCTGTGGAGCAACACAACCCGCTTAGAAAACTAACCCAAGGAAACCTTGTCGCTGCAGCAGATTTACAAAACCCAAATTGCAACAGAGTAAGGAAGGGCCGAATGGAAAACTGAACCCCAGTGATCCTGAGAGATAGAGATAATGCAGGAAATGTGGCACATCACAGCAAAAACACTGATTGTCTTTCACCAGTTGTATGTGGGCAGAGACAAATGCTGCTTCTCTCCTTCTCCAAAGGAGCCACTGGCCCAAGGCAGCTACTTCACTCCTAACATGTATGGGCTGACTCCTGGGAGCCAGGAACCACTTTGCAAAATGGGAAACATCCAAATAGACCTTGTTTTCCAGTATCTTCTCTTCCAATACCTAAAGGGGACCTACAAGAAACCTGGAGAAGGGCTTTGGACCAGGGCCTGTAGGGACAGGCCAAGGGGAGACTGAGATGAGCTCTTAGGCAGAAGCTCTTCCCTGTGAGGGTGCTGAGGCGCTGGCACAGGGTGCCCAGAGAAGCTGTGGCTGCCCCATCCCTGGCAGTGCTCAAGGCCAGGTGGGACACGGGCTTGGAGCAAGCTGCTCCAGTGGAAGGTGTCCCTGCCCGAGGCAGGGGTTGGAGCTGGGTGAGCTTTAAGGTCCTCTCATCCCAAACCACTCTGGGATTCTATGATTTGATTCTGTGGAAGATTCTATGAGATCTTCCACAATCGAAATAATAAACATTTCCTCCTCTATCCCATCTCAGCTCAAAAGCGAGGCATCCTGAAATCAATTGTGTATTTTGAGCTGCCAGCTCTAAGAAAGGGAATATATTGTGAAAGAACTCATGTCCCATAGATTATTTCAATATAAAAAAGACATTTAAAAAATCAGACATTGCTAACACTGATAAAACTTTAGTGAAAAAACATGGTAGTGCTGAAACCACACGAATTTTAACCAGAATCTTGAAGAAAAGAAATTCAAGAGAAAAAGGAATCCATAAATAATGAGGAACATGGCAAAAGCTGAATAAGTAGAAATAGCCAGTCTGTTAAAAGGCTGAATAAGCATGTTCTTTGTAGCAGCAAGGAAAGGAAAAGACACAACAGCCTGTATGCTCTGCTTCAGTGATAATTTCCCTGAGAGCTGCACCCATTCAGCCAGGGGTAGCTCAGGATCTGAGCCTCTTTTCTTCAATATAACATGAAGTTATACACTTGGTCAAGTTGGGAAAGCTCCAAAGCCAAGTGCTGAGTGTCCAAAGGGGCTTTCCACAGTGAGCAGAAAGCTGCCTATAAAACAAGCTTTCTCGTAAAGTGTCAATGTTCCCCTCAGCTGAATCCTGAATTCTTCTAATTCCAGATTCGACTTCTGGCACTGGAAAATCCCACTTCTGGAGCTGAGCTGAGATGAGCAGGAGCTTGTGCTCAGGATAAAAATAGTTGGGTGAAACTAGGTCACTTCCATATCCTGTCTCGCCCTCCCTGGGATGAAAATCCATGGTTTTCTTGCATCTCCATAGCAGGGAAGATGGGGATAGATCAGCTTTGACTCACAGCTTCGATCCCCCACACACTTGTATAGGGAAGCACCACAGTGGGATACTGCTGAGGGCTGGGTACCCAGGAGCTTCAGCTGCCTCTGTTTCAGGAGCAGATCTGAAGGCTCTCTTTTCCCAGTGCCCATGAACAATCACGCTGCCTCCAGTTGATCTGCCGGCAATCAATGATGCTTTATATCCTAATAGAGGTTTATCTGTCAAGCTTGGCCACAAGAGCGTCTTCGTTAGAATTAATTACAATGTCTGGCTTTAGCTACGTGGGAGGCAGCATCCAAGTTACCCTTGTACTCTTCAGACCAAATTTCTCTCTCTGGATGGCAGTACTTACATCAAAGGTTAACTCAATGGCTTGTACGCTTGCTTTCTGGAAATTTAAGTCAATAGAAGCTAATTATACTTCTTGATGCAAGATCAGAATTGACGTGTGAGTGGAATTTAACCTGAGTGCTTCCTTGGTAACTTAGCTTTGTCTCCAGGATCTCACCAGTCAGAAGCGGCTGGGTGGGATGGGTGTGCACGAGGCAGGTGAGAGGATGCTCCTCACAGCCCACGATAAAAGGGATATTTTCCTTTGGATATTCCCCGTACCAAGTCAGAAAGTCAGGTTTCCACTATTACTATTCTACTAATATGAAGGTATTACTGATGTTAGGTAAATTAACTTCATTAAGTTATTTACTGAATTAGGTACTATTAATTCAGTAGTGTGGTTTTTCCCTATTCCCTCTCCGTTTTGCTGGTTTTGTGGATGAAGAGACAGCAGAGGAGTGTTTCCTATGGCATGCACAGGTATTTTCCAAGTGTTCCTCATGACACATCTTCAACGTGCCCCACAGCACAAGGAAGAGCCACCGGGGTTGGCAGAGATCACAGCATGAGGACAACTGCCCCCACACGCAGGGTACCACCTCATCATGATGCAGCACGGAGCTGAAGCATCTACTGCCTCTGGGAATGGGCTCAGGTCAGTTCAGCCCTGCAATCTGGTATAAAATCCCTGGATTTTAACCCTACCACTTGTGGTTGCCAGCAAAAAGAAACCCAAAATGCCCCAAACCAAACCCCAGTGGGTACAGCAGACTTTAAGCTTTTTTTTTACTGATGCACTACAGATTGTTCCAAACCAATTCAGCTTTGTAAAATTAGCACCTTTGATCCAGCAAATATTTATATGCACATATCACTTGCTGGGACAGTCTCCTCTACTGAATGTAACAAAGTCCTGTTCACCAGTCCCTAGGCAACCACTAGAACAAAGTAATTAGTAACTACAAATTCACATATATAAATCCAAATGAGATCCAGGTTAATTTTGTGTCTTCCGTGCTTGAAAATTAGCACCTGAATGTTCCCCA